GATCAACAAAGTACATTGCTGGAGGGGAGCAGTGGATGAGACAGGAGAGGTCTGCCACGCCATGTGGGTCAGCTCCCTGGCTGGGATCTAACTAGTGCTACATGGCTGTGGAAAGCTTCATAGTGCCGTGCTTTAATCTGTTGTGTCACCAGGCAGGGCCCCGACTACCCTTTTTAAATTAAGCAATTTAAATGGGAAATCATGGCTTCCTTAGTTTCACTTTGGCTTTCCAGCCCTTACAGCACCAGAGTATTGGATATTGCTGAGCATAATTGACTAATCGACTGTCTTGTAAGCCCATTTAAATTCTGAAAGCAAGACAACTTTAAATGACATTTAAAGATCCCTAAATTAAGGGATTCCATTAACATGAAAAATGACCACAGTACTTGAATTCTCTGTGCTCAACCAGGGAGACTGAGTGGCTCAAAACTTAAGAGCTGGCAAACAACAGAGCAAGCAAGCTGATCTTACGGGGATATACTCCAGAGGATACTGTTCTGTCCACTTACCATACTGCTGGTTTCTACAGATTTTCAAAAGCTTTTCCTCTTAGAGAACTAAGTAGAGATGTTATTTTTAGATGAGAAAATCTAGTATGGCAGCTCTTCAGATAGCATCATTTCATTCAAGATTATTTTGTTTAACCTTGTTTCCATGTAATATTGATGAGGGGCAAGTCCCGGCCAAGGAAATGATAAGACTAGAGACTCTGCTTTTGTTATTTCATGCTTTTGCTTTTAAGAACCAGGTTCCAAGAAATTTTCAGTGATACTAAGTGACTTCCTATCATTTATTGCAGATATTGCTCTGTTTACACTATTCAGCATCAGAGACTCTGAGGTCAGATCTGGGTACAAATCCCAGTTGTGAACTTTTGCAAATAGTTTCTTTATTTCATTTCCTTATTTCTAAAACATAATTAATGCAGTGAAGATTAAATGAGGAGCCAGTTCCTGCATAACCTACAGCCCAGGGCAGGGTATATAGCAATTAGTTACTAAATGGTGAACCATTTTAATTAAAATTCCAAAACAGCTCTCTGGATTTAAAGCCTCCTGGGCCTTAAGTTCTCATGGAGGAGACAAACAAGACTACTAACTTAAATACATGCATACTAGGAGTAGGTGCTGAAAAAGGATGTAAAGTATTGAGAAACAGTGGAAATTTTAGGTAGGACAAACAGGTAAGACTTAAGAAGAAAGGGTCTCTTAAGAAAGCACCAAACAGCAAAGAAGCTGCTAAAGGTGGGTTCATAATAGACAAATTTTGGCGGTAGAAGGAACAAGTGCCTTTAAAGGTCCTAAAGCAGGAATGCTATAAGGAGTTCCAGGCAAGATGGTGTGATGAGAGTAAAATAAACAGGAGATAGTACAGTGGTAGATGAGATCAGAGGTTGCCAGGGAAACACGTAGTCATCGTAAGGATGGGAGAGAATTTGGCTGGGAGCTGTGTGGACTGACTTTTTATTTTAAAATGATTCTTCCGGTTGCCATGTTGAAAATAGACTGTTGGATGGGGGGAGGAAGATCAGAGGACGAGCAGAAGGGCACATGTTGCGATGCCAGTTAAGAGTCTACGCTATCAATCCAGAGCATCACAAAATCGACTTTAATGGAGTAATTACCATGTGTTATTCCTTTGAGATCTGGAAGGTTTTCCTGTGCCCTTGCTGTATATTTATAAATACTAGGAAGGATAAGAGTCAGATCCTTCTGGATGTTATTGTCATCCTGGTTATTCATTCATTCATTCATTTCAAATTAGGTTATCTTTTATTCAGGAGTTACGTATAAATGAAAACAGTATGCGTGTGCTCCGTGCCTATGTTCTTTACCTCAGCATGTCTTTGAAATTTATTCTTGCTATGTGGATCAGTAGTTTGTTTCTTTTTATTGCTGATTCATAACCATTTTGTGGACATATCCCTTTACTTGTTCACAGATATTTGGGTTGTGTCTAGTGTCAAAATGTTTCCCAGATGGCTGTAGCATTTTACATTTAAACTAACCATATAGAAGAGTTCTATTGCTCTATATTTTCATCAATTGCTTTTAGTTTCTGGTTTTTTACTTTTCTTTAGAAGACAGTGGCACTGTTCAATAATCATGTTTGCTTGTGACTTCATTGGTGCTTGTCTGGCAAATTCTTTTGCAAAGGAAGGGAGCATTTCATGGCACTTCATCAGATGTCAGACCCGAGCTGTCGCCGGTGGCTGCCTCGTGGCCATGAGCAGCACTGACATATTGGTTCACTGTGATAGCTGTTGATTCTGACACTGTCAGTCCACTAAAAGAAAGGTTATTGGGCTACTCAGACACAAACGCAAAGACAGACACTCACCCACACACCTCCAACCTCCATAAGACAGTGCTTAGCCTTCTCCTTCACAGGAGAAAGGGGGTTCTCTTTCTAGCACAAGGAAAGGGAACCCCATCCGCAGCAGGTCCCCATGCCTTTTATGCGCCTTCGCCCAGTTTTATTTTTCTGTCCTTTAAACCTGTTTGGCTAGGATTTGTTTCCTGTCACCTTCCAAATCTGTGCTATATTTCAAGGTTTCATGAAAAATTACTTTTAGATCAGAAAATTGGAGGAATCTTCTAATTAATAGGTGGAGATTGCATCTCAGACATGTAAGCTCTGTGAACTGCCATGGCATTCTCAAGCTACAGTTAATTTTCATTTACATGGTTGTGTGTCGTTGTGTGGGTGTATATCGGCACCTTACAGGTAAGGAATATGTATTATACATGAAATTTAACAAGAGCATCACAATTGCAAAAAGCAGTATGTGTTAGTAGCTACTGCTGCTGTTGCTTCAAAAATCCCTTTGATTGTTCTCAAGAACCTGAGAAGCTGTAATTGTTTTAACCATATTGGATCAAACATGAATGAAAGTGATGAAATTCAGTATCATAGTCAGATGTCAGCAGCCTATGCTCATTATAACAGAAGTATATTTATTTGCCAGGTTAGTGACTAACATCACTTCACATTTTCTTTAGGTGGAAAAGAAACTTCATGATCACTTTATAGAAGTCAAAAATATATGGCGATGTATTACATGGTTTATACTTTTTTATTTTCACAATGCCTTTATTATTGTTAGTCATGTTGCAATAAAAGAAAAAATGTGGATATTTGTCAATTCATGGTTTTTCTTCCAAAAGCACACCTTCATGTTTATGGTATTTAGTTATTGTAGACATTTGCACAGATAACATTTCATTAAGTCCTGAGAAAACCCCTTATGGGATGCGGAGGACATAAATCCTCCTTTTAAAGCAAAGGAAACCACAGATTGCAGGAATAGCCTCAGGCCCACCTGCAAAGTGTAAGTGAAACAGAATCAGGTTCCCGGCTCTTATTCTAGGGTCCCGTCCGGTCCCCACTACACACCACTTTCCTTTGCTCTTGTGTTGTCCTATTCAGATTTGTGGAACTCTGGTAATTGTAGAACAGGTACAATGTTTTACAACAAGATTTATTCAATATCAGTAAACAGCAACACATGTTCTGTCTGAGATTTCTAACTGATGCATTTCTATACATTTCTGACCAGTGTCCTCTTAGAAGCTTGATTCAATCTAGAAAACATCAACATGTGCTTAGTAATGATAGCTAAATCCTCACAAACGTCCTCCAAGGAGAACGTTGCAAAAGGAACCTACAAAGTGACCCCCTTTATGTGCAAAGACAGGCAGAGGAAGCGATGGTGTAAGACATCAGACTGTCAGATCAGGGGCCTGAGGTTGGAGGAGGAAACGAGGGGGGTTGACCTGGGTGCTGGCTGCACAACTGCTATCTTTGGGAAGGTTCACTGAATTTATTTGTAATTAATTTCAGGTAGAATTTTAAATACTTTATTTTCATGGATGGTGGTTTAAGCACTTCCAACTTGAGAAACTGATACACTTATTGTAACTTTTTTGATAAACTCACACATTTCTTATGATACCCCAGCTCCATCCCTCCAAAAACCTAATCTTATTGGTCAACTTTGGAGGGTGCTAAGAAAACTTATTCTGAAAACTGAAAGGTAATGGAAAAGATTTCAGTGTTTATTCTTCCACTCCCATGTAACGATCTCAGGATAATTAAATCATTGATGGGGGAGAAGGTTCCCTTTACAGATATACTTCAGACGATACACAGTTATTGTAATTATAAAGGGCCATTTCCCAACAATAGTCCATTACCCTTTCATTGTTGTTTTCACCCCCAAGTTCTTAAGATACCCTCGTGGAGCCAGCTGCCGTGGAGCTGTGGTGAAGGCACTCCTAAAGTGCTTGCCAGGACAACTTCCCTTTCTGAGATGTTGTGGGCAGAAAGGGGTTGAAGAATGCCGCCCCTCCCCCCCCTTTGCTCCCACTTAGGATGTCTATCTGTATCCAAACAGACAGCACTGGGACATTTTCATGGAATTCTGATAAGGCCCACAGTTGCTTCCGTCAGCTTCTTAGAATCTTAACAATTTCACACTGATTTTTCTCTACCTAAATGGTTTCAGAGCAGCACAAATAGTTGCACAATAGCTCTGTTCTGTCAGAAATGTTCCTTGGGGTCAGCGTCTAAAAGAAATGAGATTGAGGTGCTAGAAATGACTTGGAGCAAAACTCAATCTTAATAAAAGTGGGAACTCTTGGCCACAAGCCATGGTGTTTCTTTGGCTTCAAATGTTAAACTAAATTCAACCACGTCAATTTAGGAAAAAAAGGGAGAATTTAAAAAGCTAAGCCTTTGCGGTCCCCCATGCTTGAGACTGAGGTGTACGGGAAACACACACATTATGGGGTCCTGCCCAAGATGACAAGCCGCTTCCCTGCAAACCACCGCTTTTTTGAAATGTCACCTGTTTTTTGTTTTTTTTGTTTTTGTTTTTGTTTTTTTGCTTCCTTCAAATCAGTTCACGTTTTTTATTTTATAGTAAGAAGTGTATTTTTAAATGTTCTTGCCAGCTATTTACACACTATGGCTTCTCTCTTTTCTTCCCCGTGCAGTCTTCTATTTCTTCATCAGAAGAAAGACTTGTTTCCATCAGGAGATCTAAAACGCCAACCTCAAGTGACTTCTCTGACCTTAACACTCAAACGAACTGGACCAATTCACGTCCCTTGCCAACCCCAGAAGAGAAGATGCGACAGCAAGCCCGAGCAGTCCAGGCTGACATGGTTCCTATTAATATAACCGGTATGCTTTGCACTGTAGACAGGTTCAAAATGCACCTGGGAGAATTCCTTCTGGTTTGCTGCCTGCCCAGCATTTCATTTATATGTCAGAGGGAAAAACGACGGCACTACGGTCTGGCTTCCTTTTCTTTGTTAAATGAAGAGAATGCTAACACACGTGTGTGCATGTAAAATACCGATTGATTACTAGGTTAGAAGTCTTCACTGAAGGCTGACTTCAGAGAAGTCAGTGGCCCAGTGTGTGTCTTTTTTACTTGAATTGCTTTTTACAAAATACTTTGATAATATGGGAACATCTTCTAAATGTGGTACTAGATAACAAAAAAATTATTTTCCTTCTAAAGGACTATTTTCAGTAATTGTAGAAGTAGAGATAATAGTTTTGTGATATTTCTGAAGAACAGATTTTTCTGCCTCCTTATATTTTCAAGGAGGAAAAGGAAAAAATACTTGAAATAAAAATATCAAGTGAATTAGCAGTAACTATAATTTTTTTAACTTGGCTTGACAAAATTATATTTTGATCTCCATAATTTGAAATCTACCATCTTCCAATAAAAATCCATTCCTTCTGAATATAAAATTCTTAAACCCATTACATGAAGCTGGAGTGTGAATATGAATTGTTAAAAATGTGAAATTTCAAATGTGCTGAGGTTTTAAACATCTGTGATAATAAAAGTGACAAATAGCAAGGTATAAAAACCTCCCAGACCGTATTTCACCAATTTAAGAGCTATTTAAAATACCAACATTTTTCTGTGTTGCCACTTTATAGTCCACAAAGAGTACAGGCCAGTGGTTTAAGGCAGGTACAATAAATGTACCTGGAACACACTGGTCACACTGGAGCGTGTGTTCACGAGAATTAGATTACTAATAGTCAGCATTAGTGAACAGTTACATATGCAGCAAAGTCTAAGGACGAGAAGCTAAAAGATTCAGATGCCCAATAAGGATGAGTTTTCATAAAACATGAGGATGAAAACCTACAGCACTTACATACTTCCAAGTCTGCTGCTGTTAAAAAGCTTTTTGCCATAGCACCGGTGAGCTTGTGGAAGGGCTGATAAAATTTCGATAATTATTGAAGAATTTTTTAAAACCATTGAGAACATTTAAAAATTACATTTAGACTTCTATTTTGAATTCCAGAGTAATTCAATAAACAAGTACATGAATCATTTTAAATCCCCTCTGCATTTTCCCAGTTAGTAGGCACAAACAAACCTTAGAAGAATGTCATGCCACTTTAATCCATCTCCTTTACAATGAACATTGTCGATCTTTCTGAGTGTGATTCTCATTCACCTTGAACTTATTTTTTAAAGTTGATTTTATATAAATAACTATTTCAGAATAAAGCATGATGTTCATTTCTTGTGAAGTATATGGGCACATACTTTCTGTAAGAAGACGCATTACAATATTTGATTGAATGCAGCAGAAATGTCATTATATATGATTAAATGCCTCAAAAAATAATAGTATAGGATATATGCTAAGAAATGTGAAATCCTTAGTGGAATTAGGGTAAAATGCATTACCACAGGTTAGGAAATCTAAAACAGAGTGACTAAAATTTCAGGAAGAAAGATTTATTTGCCATGAAATACACTGTCACAATAGGAGACAGTGTTGTTTTGTTGAGGCTTAATTCTCTCGTATTTGGTATCTAAGTGAATATGAATCTCATAGAGGTTAAAAGGTCTCAGAATGCCAGAGGGGAAAGGTGAACACCAATAAAGATGAGAGATATAAGTTATGTTGAAATGCAACTTACATTTAACTGAGTGATCAGTTAAATGAAATATAATCCTACGTTTATTGATCCATTGTCTGGATCCGTGTATTCACATACACATGATGAGATTAGTTTTTCTAATATACCAGTACAAAGAAACATTAAATTTAAAATTTTCACTTTTAGCAGCCCATTTAACATAGGTTAGTCTATCTTGCTGCTCTCACTGACTTATTTCTAAAGCCCTAGAAGACTTGAGATAAGATGTAGCTTCCTGTGGGGAGTTGTCCTGTGCCTCTTTACTTGGGTGTGCCCTGACTTTTCTTTGGGTGTCAGTCAGTTTTAGCAGTGAAAAGAAATGATGATAAGTATGTTATTTCAAATCCAGAGCGAACCCCGGCAGGCACAGAGGTAGAAATTAGCACAGTGAGCTGCCAGCTTGGAAATCAGCTTAATCCCTTTAATCATAGTCCTGGGGGACTTGGCACCCCAAAAGAAAGAAAGAGAAAGCCCAAAGAGAAAAAAACAAACACAGTTTACATGAGTTATTTCCATAACCTGCTATGGAGGTAACAACTCTCCCACATGGAAGATAAACATGTGGGTAAGCTTATTTAACCAGTATTTACAAACAAGCTTTATACTGGTGTTTGAATACATTTATTTCTCCGTGGTAACCATGATGAACTAATACCATTTTTCAGTAAAAGGGAGTGATTCAGTGGATCTCCATTCAGTGGATATTTACTAAACAACTACCATGTCAGCCGTTGACTGAGGTGTATTCACACTAAGATACATGACATGAGTCATGGTGTGTACTTTCAAGAAGTGGATGGTCCATCAAAGAGGACAGTCCTTTGTGAAAGGTCACAATTCAAGATGGGGAGTTTGGTACCTTTAATGGTGTATGTTCTAAATGTCTATTCTCATGGTGTGCTTCTTAATTTCCTTGGAATTCTAGTGGTTTTCTCTTGTTTTTGTTTTGGAAGCCAGTTGGAGACTAATTGCAAACACGGGTGTTTTGTCCTTCATTAATCCTTGATACAAGTTTTCCTTCTGCTACAAGGAACTAGTAGACTGTTAGTCATAACTGCCCCTTACAAATGCTGTGGATGTCATTTTCCTGGTGTCCCATTTACTACAGTGATGGTGACTTCAGGTATTTCTCTCAGTCATTACCTTTTTTCTTCTTTAGGAACAAAGTTGTCAGCAATTTAAAGTTTGCAAATATGTATTTAAGTCTGTTGCTTAATAGATGAATTATATTTGGATGATTCAGATCTCTCATCCTCTGTTTTGATTAAATTTCTATTCAAAATTCATCCCTATTAAAATAGAAGGGTCACAACAGACCAACTTTGAATGTGTGTCAACATTGCAGAGAAGAGTGAATGTGTTTACATTTTTCTTTCAGCACAGGAATAACAGAAGTACCTGACTTGTGTGTGTATATATATTTTTGAAATCACTTACCAAGAATAACCATTTAACAATGGTGGTATTATAGAGCTTTCTTAAATGGGCCAGTAATTTAAAGCATCAGACCCATCAGTAACTTGTGCTTTATTATCTTCTAGTTTCCCATAGTGTATTCATTGCACCTACCTACACTCTAGAACGAAAAATACGCCTGTGGATGTGATATTCTGGGTTTAGTTGGAACATTACCTTCAATGTCTGAGTTAAGATCAACTTTAAAATGTGACCACAAAACAGAAAAGCAGTTTGGCTTCCACAGCAGCAGGGCTACTGGGTCTCGTTGTGATAAAAGTACTTTATCATTATAAGGCTTTTTCTTTTTCATTGTAGTTGTAGCTCACACCATAACAGTTTCCACAGTCTATCCAAATTGTCTGCCTCTTTGATTGAAGAAAAAGCTCTTTATCCAACAAGAACTGTTAGTTATTTGTTCCATCACATAGAACATGACATTATATTGATCACTGGAGGTGGCCAGAGGAATTAAACATGGTCTGTGCTGACACTGTACACGCACTGATGAAAGGGATGGCTTCAGTGTGCAGAACTATGTGAAACACTCTAGAATGGTCCATATTTTAAATAACACAGAGTCACCCTTCCAGAGTGTTACAAGTTTGCATTTATTTGAAAATAAAACCAAGGTGCCTCCTTTGGCAGGACACATACATAGAGGAGTTGGAAAAAAGCCTTCTGATGATAATGTGCTTTTCTTGCCTTTTTTGCCCTTCAGCATTCATTCATCATCATATGACTGGCTAACCTCATTAATACCTTCTTATCATTTTACAACAAGCTTCTGGAAGAAAGTGCATGGTGTCAGCTTGCTTGAAAATAACATCGCTTTGCTTGTTCTACTTACTCTACATTAGGGGAGAATTTCGATCGCCAGGCCAGCCTTCGGCGGTCTCTCATATACTCAGACACTCTGGTAAGACGACCGAAGAAAGTCAAAAGGAGAAAGACTATTACAGGAATCCCTGACAACATTCAGAAGGAGCTAGGTATGGCTCATCAGAACTGTACTCACAGCCCGTCCCTGCCGCCCGACATACCGTGCTAACCTCTTTATGGTGCTTATGAAATCGATACATTCTGATAGCCGCTGGTTGCCCTACAGGGCCAGCTTCTCTCTTGAATGAGGCTTGGGGTATAAATCCTAGCAGATGATTGCCACTGAATTTGGGGGAGAAGATAAAAGGAAGGGCCTCCATGAAAACTAAAACTGGGATGATAGGGATTTACAGTTATGTCATCATCTCTACACACCTTGCATGGTGGGTATTTTCCACAACAAAATTTATTGTACATTGAGATCTTTTCGTGAAACTGGAATGCATGTGAGGGCTTCAAATTGTAACCATGGGGTTTTCACTACAGTGGTTTGTCATCAGAGAGACTGCTGGTGGGATAATTGCAAGTGCCAATACGATAGAAACAGTCATTGATTTTGGATGATGCATTTCTGTATTTCCAGAGAAACAATTTCATAGCTTTCCTTATCCAACCAGGGATAAAAGCAGGAGACAAAAAAAAAAAAAAAAAA